ACTGCCTGGCACCAGGCCTCTGCCGACCCTCGAGAGATTCTGGGCCCCCGCTTTCGAGAGCCGACCAGAACAAGGGCTAGCTAAATCACGTAGGGATTCAACTGAATAGCACCCGCGCACTAAGTACCACAAGATATTTTCCTCGGGCCAAAAAGCGATATTGTGACTCTGGTCCACCTCCCGCGATCGAAGACAAATCCTACCCGTGGGCCGGAACACCGCCCCACTCCGCGACATGGGGGTGCACGGGGTGGCCAAAAACGAGTGACATCCCTACCCGTGGCTCTGCAGCCACACTGAGAACACTGGGAGAAATCTCCACGAATCTGAGGACAGATGTGGGACGTGCTGAGGGCCGCTCGGCGGAGCCTATCCGCCGCCGACCTCCTGACACACGCCTTCGGAGGGCGGGGGGGCCTCTTACCCTCACGCTCCAGAACATCTTCCATGACACTCAGGAGGTGGCACTGAACCTTATACGTGATGCCGTCGGCCCAGCCCACCGCCGCCCTCGAGGCATACGGGAGCTGGACCTCAGCACTGCAATCCTCTGCGATCGTGTCTGCGATCGCGTTAGCAATGACGTGGCCAGGGTTGAGCCCCGTAGCCTCCTGGAGGTCTAAATGGGACGGAACCTGACGCAGCAGCAAATCCCTGGAGGCACACAGGTTGGCCACACGGTCCCAAAGATCACGGTGGGACCGAATCCCCCTCACACAATCTCCCAAGACTCGGGAAACCCCGCGCACCACGTACGCGGCCCCATCGGGAGTAACTTCTAAAAACCTAACAAGGGCCCAGAGCTCTTCCCGATTCACACTCTGCTTGCCAGGCACTCCACCGCCAGCGGCAACGCTCGCAGCGCCAACCTGATTGGGGAGAGCATCTAGGCTGTGGTTAAACACCGCGACGCCCCACGAGACCCTTCGAATCCTCTTGTCCCTGGTGAACTTCCCCCCGCTGGCGTCTCCCGCCCCCCAAATGCGACCCCCACCAAGAACAGGGGTGGCACCCGAAGAGACCTCGAGAGGCTGGTCGGGGGGCTCAGGCACTCGAGGCCACGAGGAGGGCGTGAGGCCGCGGAGCCACAAAGGCGGAGAACCTTCAGAATCGGCAGCAGCACGGCGAATGAAGGCCTCAGAACGTTCAGGAAGCTCGGAGTTACATGGGCATTCTCAAAAGCGATGCTGACCCAAGACCCAAGGTTTCCCTCGTGTTCCTCCCTCGTGTTCCTCCCTCGGGGCCTCCTGGGCGGCCCTCGCGTCGCCACCGCTGGATTCGCCCCGAACTCCTGGCGCGACGGTATCGGCACCCTCTTGGTCTCCCCGGGGCTGGTGCTGCTTGGAGCCCCGACACGGTGCGGTGACAGACCGTGCGGTGACCTCGGAACCCCGAGAGACCTCACCGCACGGTCCGTCCGTCTCTGGGACCTGCTGACACCGAGGGCACATGTCCTCGCATTCGCCTCCCGAGGCCAGGATGCGTGAGCGCGCCCACACGGCACCAGTCAAAACAGCTCTGAGAAGCCCCTCTTTTTTCGGGCCTTTCTTCCGCAGCCTCGCGAGTTGGCTCCTCGCGACTGTGAGATCCACTCCTTCGGCTCCCCCAGCTCCATTTCGGAACTGTGAGGCGGAAGCCCAGAGCCGAAGGGAGATCGAATTCGAGACTTCTTGGCGAAAGCCGTCGGTCATATGCGCCTGAGACCTCATCTCGTCAGGCAGAGCAAACTCCCCCCCCCCCCAGGCGAGACCCACCTCCACGGCCCAACCAACTTCCACTCCAGCGCGAGCATAGTGGCGACCACTGCCGAGACGGGTCCTCGAACGTTGTGCCACCTTCGCGCTGGGCCCAGCGCGCTTCCTGTCCTCCCCGCCTCGTCAGCCGCTGCATCCCTCCCTTTTGGCGTTCCGCGCGGATTTCTTCGATCCGCACTGGGCCCCCCAGGCGGCGCCTCCGGCGCCGCCCCGGGCGCACTCCGCGCGCCAGGGAGGGGGGTCCAGCGGAGATCCAAGAATCCGCGCGGAGCGCCAAACGTTAATGTTGATGTCGCTGTTTCCTCCTCTATGTCCCTCCCCCCCTTTCTTTTCCCTAACTATCTGCTTCGCCGTCGCCCTCTTGAACCTACATGCATGTTACCACGCTGGGGCTCAGGAGCGCCTGACCGCTGCCGCCACCACTGCTGCCGTCGTCTATCGGTCTGCTTCCTTCTGCCGAATCACTGGCCTGGACCTCGCCGTCCTGAGCGACATGCAGGACCTGCAATGGGGCCGCGCGGCGCATCACGATAACAGGGGTGGACTGGCGAATGGGTCCGATACCCAGGACCTGCGAACCTTCTCGATTGGTGCTCGAAGAGGCGCCACCACCATGACTGCGGAGTGCTGCTGTGAGCGGCCTGCGCGGGCACTCGCACGCGACCGCGCCAGGGCCAGCACTCTGAATGCGAGGAGGACGCCGCCGAGTGCGGCCAGAGACGACTATCGCGGCGATAGTCGTCTCTGGCCATTTCTCTCTCTCTCTCTCTCTCTCTTTCTTTCATGTATATTGTCTCTCTCTCTCTCTGCTTGTTATGTTTTGTAAACTGGTCTATGTCTTGAAAGGCCACAAGTATGCATGCATGCATGCATGCATGCATGCATGCATGCATGCATGCATGCATGCATGCATGCATGCATGTATGTATGTATGTATGTATGTATGTATGTATGTATGTATGTATGTATGTATGTATGTATATATGTATGTATGTATGTATGTAGTTATGCATGTATGTATGTATGTATGTAGGTATGTATGTATGTATGTATGCATGTGTGTATGCATGTATGCACGAATGCATGCATGCATGCGTGCATGTTGTATGTCTGTCTGTCTGTGTGTCTGCATGCATGCATGCATGCCTGCATGTAAGTATGTATGTCATGTAATATAATGTAATATAATGTAATGTATCGTAATGTAATGTACTGTAAGGTAATGTAATGTAATGTGATGTAGTGTAATGGAATGGGATGGAATGTAATGTAATGTAATGTAGTGTAATGCAAGGTAAGGGAATGAAATGTCATGCATGTATGTGTGTACGTATGTGTGTATGTGTGGATATCTGTATGTGCGTATGTACGTGTGCTTATGCAGGCATGTATGTGTGTATGAATGTATGTGATGTATGTATGCATGCATGTATGTATGCATGTATGTATGTACGTATGAGTGTATGAAGGTATGTGTGCATGCATGTATGCATGTCTGTCTGCCTGTCTGTCTGCCTGTATGTATGTATGCGTATGCATGTATGTATGTAGGTAGGTAGGTAGGTAGGAAGGAAGGAAGGTAGGTAGGTAGGTGGGTGGGTGGGTGGGTGGGTAGGTAGGTAGGTAGGTACTTATGTCTGCCTATGCCTATGTACGCATGCAGTAGATTTGTCTTGGCCTCCCTCTGTTACTCTCACGCTCTTACTCTCACTCTCGCTCTCTCCCTCTCGCGCCCGCGCTGGCCCGATCGCCGCCCCCCTCCCGGAGCGAGAGCGGGCGGCGGCTGGGGGCGCCCGCCCCCCCCTGGCGGGATCTCCCTCCCACCGCTCGTGAGGGGCGCGCGCCGAGCGGCCTCGCCCGCACGGCCCCGCCCGCACGGCCTCGCCCGCACGGCCTCGCGCAGCGGCCTCCCGCAGCGGCCTCCCGGCCTGGCCTCCCGCGTGGCCTTCCGCAGGGCCTCCCGCCTGCCAGAGGGGGAGGGGGAGGGGGAGGGGGGAGGGGGGAGGGGAGGACGAGGAGGAGGGGGAGATGGAGGGGGAGGGGGAGGGGGAGCAAGGCGCACAGTGGAGAGCCATGCCAGGAAACGCCCTGCCTGCCTCCAGGGTGCCCCTTATGGTTGCTTGGCTCCCGACGGTTTTGCGACGGAGGGCGCGCCGTTCCCACAGCGTACGTTAATAATGGACGTCCTGGGGTCTCGGGGTTGGGCTTCTTGTGGAAGGTTTCTCGTGGACTGACCTCCACTGGTCGTTGCAGTGCCGAAGAGGCCTGCAAGCCTTTCTGAGGAGGCTCCCCTCGCCGCGGCCCCGGGCGCAGGCTCCTGGTCGGTCCGGAGGGGCGGCGCGAGGGGGGCGGCCTTCAGAGCCGGCTTCTGAGAGGCCCTAGCCTGCGAACGCCAGCCTGTGGCTTCCGAGGGGCCTGCCTGCCAGAGGAGGACATCACCACCCACCAAACCACCCCAACCCGACCCGAAGGCCTCAACTTGCCCTCCACTGCCAGTGTGGGGGGGTCGGGGAGCATTGAAAAAACACATGGGCCCCGTACCCCCACCAACCCGAAATTCGAGTCAAATTCGAGTCTTTGGGTTGGGTTGGGGTGGTCTGGTAGGTAGTCCGGACAAAAGGTACCCATACTTCTACCCTTCGCCCGTTTTTTTTCGTTTTCTCATTTTTTCGGCCTCTTGGGAGGCCCTTTGCGCCATCGCTGGACGGCCAGTGTGGAGCGATTTGGCGATCGAAGACCCGCCGATCGCTCAAGGTTGAACGATCCACGGGGTGTCAGAAACCAACGCCAGTGTCGCCACGACACGAATCTGTCGTAGGCTTTCCCGCGCGGCCTCCCGTATCTCGAGATGTTGATCTCCTGTAAGAATCGTGTGTTTGCTTGGCAGTTCTGCTGTTTAGCGCCATCTGCCGCCAGGGTGGGCGTGTTCGCTTGCACGTTTCCCGCTTCCGCGTCCAGCTTCTCCACCTCCTCCTCTTCGTCCTCCTCGCCCTCACCTCCATCATCTCAGGCTCCAGTTGGAGTGAACAGCCAGAATATTCGCACACTCCGTGTTGCAATACGGTGGGGGCGTTTGTTAAGGAATAGTCCCAGGAGGCGCCAGTCCCTGGAGGATTCCTTACCTGATGAGGGCGGCGGTGATGGCCATGGCCAAGCCTCGATTGGAGGTCCACTGGCCTCCAGACCTTGGATTCCTTATCTAAGGGTTCCTTATCCAATGCCGCCACCGTATCATACCGACTCTCCTTATCTATACATCCATCGTGTGGCAGATGGCGGGCCACCTCGTGATCGCCACGCTGGCTGCGGCCCGATGTGCCTTCGGACGCCAGAGGAGAAGCACATCTTATGGAGACCGCTCCAAGTCCCCGTCGCCACGGCTGGACGCGCCTCGAAATCCTGGCCAACACGCACCTCGGGAGGTCCGTGGAGTAGTTCGGTGGCTGGCGAGGGGGGAAAGTGAGAAAGAGAAGGCCTTCTCAGCAGGCGGCGGGACCTGTCAGAAGCCCTTGCGCCGTCTGAGAGGTTTTTTGTGTCTTCAGGGACGGCTTAGAAAACTGTTCAGAAGTCCGGGGGACTTCCAAGCCTTCTGAGAAGGCCCGCCCCCTCTCACTTCCCCCCGGAGCTCGCCGCCAAGTAGTGGCATCGGTACCTCTTTGTTCCGCCCCCAGGACTGGTCTCTTCTTCTGCCGGCTTTTCTGCAGGCTACCTTGATCAGATCAAGCTCCTCAGGGACGAGCGCGGGAAAGAGTTCTTCACGCACGCGGGCGTGCCCGTATACACTGCCGAGCACAGTACACCCTCGCCTGGGGGTGATCGGCTGCGCAAAGCGTTTCGGTGAATAATATTTCCCCCATGAAGCAATACGGAGGATTCCTTATCTGATGAGGGCGGCGGTGATTTCCATGGGCGATCCACGATTGGAGTTTCACAGACTTCCAGACCGTGGGTTCCTTATCTAGGAGTCCCTTGTCCACTGAATCCACCGTGTTGTGGATCCCACCTCCGGTGCCAATTTTGTTCAATGAAGTCGCCCCCCTCGACTCTCGTGCGCAGTTCTGCTGTCGGGGGCAGTCTTGAATGCTAAGCTGCGCTGTTGGCCTCCAGATCACAAGAGCCACGGTTCCATCTGGAGGCTTTCTCCCAATGCATTTAGGAATGCTGCTCTCGCTTGAGACTTGCCTGCAATGTATTCGAGGTCGGCGCTCGCGGATGAGACTCCGTCCCGATTTGTTCGGGAGTCGCGTCTGTGCTTCTCAGGAATCGCGAGGGCCGTACACGCGGGGTTGTTCGCATGCCGCCGGCATCAACGGCGGTCGTGATCGTGCCCCTGCCCCGAGACTGGCCTGCGAGGTTCGTCGCGCCGAGCGAGTATGGCGATGGAGGAGTTGGTAATCGTCGTCGTGGCCATGGAGGTCATTGCGGAGGTGGCGGCAGTGAGACTCGCCGTGGTGGCGAAGGCAACCGTGGCGAAGCTGTAACTAGATCTTGAGCGCGCGTATCGCGCGCGCGTGGTTCTAGTATGTCTACATGTATGTATACGAACAGAAAAAAAACATGACGAGTGAGAGTGGGACATGTGTGGAGGGAGAGATATAGAGAATACAACAATGAAAACAGGCATACCGAAAGGATGGATACAAGCAAAGAGGGGAAAAGACAGAGACAGAGAGAAAGAGAGAGAGAGAGAGCGAGGGAGGGAGAGAGAGAGACAGAGATCGGGGGTCGGGGGTTGGAGCGGAATTGAACCCAACCGGGAAAGCGGTTTCGGTTTCGGTTCGTGTCGTGCGTGATGGCGAGGCAAAATTCTTTACGCTTCGCGTATCCCCACCAGCCCATCTCACAGCAGCAACTCTTGCGAAGCATGCCGACAGTCGTGTTTTTCAGGCGTGTGTCCGCTTGGCCCCGCATATCTCCCCTGTTCCTCCTTCCTCCCGCCTCCTTGTACATCCTCATTGTGGGGGGAGCGGGAGAAGGACGAGGCGGAGGAGGAGGGAGAGAAAGCGCTCCTCGTGGTTTGAGTCGTTTGGGGTTTCTCGTCCTGGTGTGAGTCGTTCGGGCCCTTCTTCCTGGTGTGAGTCGTTCGGGCTCTTCGTGGTGTGAGTCGTTCGGGCTCTTCGTCCTGGTGTGAGTCGTTCGGGCTTCTCGTGGTGTGAGTTGTTCGGGCCCCTCGTCCTGGTGTGAGTCGTTCGGGCCCCTCCTCCTGGTGTGACTCGTTCGGGCTCCTCGTGGTGTGAGTCGTTCGGGGCCCGCGTCGTGGTGTGAGTCGTTCGGGCTCCTCGTGGTGTGAGTCGTTCGGGCGCCTCGTCCTGGTGTGAGTCGTTCGGGCCCCTCCTTGTGGTGTGAGTCGTTCGGGCTCTTCGTGGTGTGAGTCGTTCGGGCCCCTCGTCCTGGTGTGAGTCGTTCGGGCTCCTCGTGGGGCCTCTTGGGGGCCTCTTGGAGCCTCTTGGGGCCTCTTGGGGGCCTCTTGGGGGCCTCTTGGGGGCCTCTTGGGGGCCTCTTGGGGCCTCTTGGGGCCTCTTGGGGGCCTCTTGGGGGCCTCTTGGGGGCCTCTTGGGGGCCTCTTGGGGGCCTCTTGGGGGCCTCTTGGGGGCCTCTTGGGGCCTCTTGGGGCCATCTTGGGGCCTCTTGCGACCTCCTCAGAAGCGCAAATGAGCGCTGCCCCCTGAGAAGGACAAAATGAGCCCAAAACCTTCGTAAAATCAATGATTTTGCTATGAAGGACGATGAGCGCTGCCCCCTCAGAAGCCCAAAATGGGCCCAAAACCCTAGTAAAATCAATGATTTGTGCTTCAAAGACGAGCTGAGGCACCAAACTCCCCCCCCCCCCTCGGGGCCAGAATCCTTGTGAGGGTCGTCGTTTTTTGGCCCTCCCAGACGTCGAAAAAGACCCCCCTGACGACCCGCGGAACTCCCTCTCCAGGTCCAGGGGGAGGGGGTAGGGGGAGGGGTAAACCCCTCCCCGAAGGGGAAGAAGGGGGGTTGAGGACAGAGAGAGCTCCCTAAACCACTCACGCCCAAAGGGCTGGTGGGATTGCGCGAGTTTCATCCTTGACTAGCCATCTATTGCCCAAAGGGTAGCTTTCTGAGCGCCGGGCGTGGCCCCCGGTTGTCCCGGCGGTTGTTCCGATGGTTGTCCCGATGGTTGTCCCGATGGTTGTCCCGATGGTTGTCCCGATGGTTTTCCCAATGGTTTTCCCGATGGTTGTCCCGATGGTTTTCCCAATGGTTTTCCCGATGGTTGTCCCGATGGTTGTCCCGATGGTTGTCCCGATGGTTGTTCTGATTGTTGTCCCGATGGTTATCCCGATGGTTGTCCCGATGGTTGTCACGACGGTTGTCCCGATGGTTGTCGCGATGGTTATCCCAATGATTGTCTCGGTGCTTGTCCTGATGGTTGTCCAGATGGATGTCCCGATGGTTGTTCCGATGTTTGGCCCGATGGGTGTCCCGATGTTTGTCCCGATGGTTGTCCTGATGTTCGTCCATATACAGAAAAGGTGTAGATAGATGGATAGCTAGATCGATAGTGTTGTCCCGATGTTGTCCTGGGGTGGGTGCGAAACTCATGCGAACCGCAAGTCTTGCAAAGCGTTGTGTCGCGCGCTGCGCGCGCGAAACGCACAACACATAGTTTGATAGACAGATAGATAGATCGATAGATCGATAGAGGGTTTCTTAAACAAAGAAGTTGATAGATATGCCGATTAATGGAAGACTAGATTTATGTCGGGCGTGTTCCCCCTACAGGGGGATTTTCGACGAAAAATAAAATGCCCCAAACATACCCCAACAAATGTCCAAAAGTACTACAAAAATAGTCCCTTGATTATTTTTGGAGTATTTTTTGACTATTTGGGGGGTATTTTTTATTTTTCGTCGAAATCCCATTGTAGGGGGACACGCCCGACATAGATTTGCGCGACAATAGGACAGTTGAAGAAACCACCAAAGAACCCAGCGCCTTCGCAAATCCCCCGCTTCCCCCTTCCCCTCCGACCTCCTTATCACCCGTACGGTGGTCCTATCGGTATTGATCTACAGAGAGAGACAAAGAGGGAAAGAACGGGAGAGAGAGAGAGAGAGAGAATGAGATACAGAGAGAAAGAGAGAGAGAGAGAGACCGAGACAGAGAGAGAAAGAGAGAGAGTGAGAGAAAGAGAGAGGGAGAGAGTGCAAGAGCGAGAGAGAGAGAGAGACACAGCGAGAGACAGAGGGAGACAGAGAGAGTGAACAAGGGCGGGAGAGAGAGGGATAGAGAGAGAGAACAAGAAAAAGAAAGGGGGGAGAGAGAGAGAGAGAGAGAGAGATTGAGCAAACACATAGTTGGCACCCTCCGCAGGGTAGATCTGGCAGCTTTCACGGTGGGCAGGCGCAAGGCGCCCACCAAACGGTAGGACCATCTCATGACCCGGTTTTTGTCCCGAAGGCGTTGCTGGGATTCGCGCTGCCGCTCGAGAGTAGTTGCGATCTGCCTTCCGTGCTGCACTGCCGGAGCCAGGCCGAGGTGACGTGGAGGCAGCCGTCCGAGAATCCGGCGTCGGTTTCGGGTACCCCACGGGTGACCCCATGGTTTTCCCAAGGGCGTCCCTTTGTGGTCCCGTGGCTGTTCCGTCCAGAGATGGTTCGTGAGAGCGGTTGGTCGAAAGGATACATATTTTCGAATGTATGTGCATGTGTATTTACATACGTGTAAAAGAAGCGATGGGTCGTGAGACAGGTATGCAAGGAGTAGATTTTTGTTCCGTGGAATCGCTGCAGTTTTCGCCTGTGGACGGCCCATGGTTGTTTTGTTGTTCTCGTGGGGTTTTCCCGTGGGTTCCGTGGTTGTCCCGTCTGCCGGTACATGTGCGGTTGGAGTGATCTATACATATTTGGTTATACACATGGTGGGGGCGTCGGTCCAGGAAAGTGCACGGGAAATCTCAGACCCTGGAGGACTAGATATCTGACGAAGGCGATGGTGGTATCCGTGGCCAAGCCTCAATTGGTGTTCCACCGTCTTCCAGGCCTTGGATCCTTATTCACGGGTTCCTTATCCAACGCCTTTACCGTATTAAGATACGAATGTCGAGAGGTAGAGAGGTATTGATATCGAGCAGTCGAGAGATCATAATATGGTGGGGGCGTTGATTAAGGAATGGTCCCAGGAGGCGTCAGACCCTGGAGGATTCCTTATTTGATGAGGGCGGCGGCGATGTCCATTGCCAAGCCTGAAATGGAGTTCCAGCGGCCTCCAGACCCTGGATTCCTTATCTAAGGTTTCCTTATCCAGTTCCCCCGCCGTAGGATGCCGGATCGGATGATCGACTTTCAGGACCCGTGGATTGAAATATCAGCATTGGTTGGTTGATTGATGAATCGTCAACCCGATCCGACGCCAATGTCAAGCCGAAATGTGCGCCCATCTCCTCACAACTTCCTTATCACCCGAAGGGTGGTCCTATAGGTAGTTTGTGGTGATCAACAGTCCAGTGTTGGGTCTTGTAGCTAGTCTAGTGGGGAAAGTCGGGGGGGGGGCCGGTTGCTTGTACCCAACGGGATTGTCCGGAGCTTTGGGAGGGTCGTGTAGTCGGGAGATGGGTCTTCGCACGCGGGGAAAGCGCGGCCCTTGTAGCCAGGGGGCCCAGAGCCGTTGAGGTACTGAGAGCACTGAGGAATTGCGCTTTCAGGTCGTGCATGCCCGACCCGTCCGTTCAGGCCAGCCCAGCCCTGCCGCCAATGCCCGCCCGCCCGACCTGCCCATGTCGGCCTGCCCGGCCCGTGCATTTTCATGTCCGCCCCCCCGGCGCGCCTGTTGGGTACGGGCTTCCGTTTGCATGGAAGCCCGCCCACCCGCTCTAATGCCCTGCTTGCCCGACTGGGCAATCAGTCGCCGCCTACCAGACCCACCCGCCTGAATGTCCCTGCTTCTGCTACAGTCACACACAAACACACGCACATATGTTTAGACACGCTGACTCCCTCTAATTACTCTTGGGCCTCGGGGGAGGGTGGCGGTGTAGAAAGTATCAGTCGCCATCTGGGAGCCAGCGACTTTCTACGCAGCCGCTTTCTTTGACGGTACATGCAAAGTTCGTCGGATGATGTCTGTGTGTGCATGTCTATGTGTATATATATGCACACATATATATATATATACATGTATGTATGCATGCATGTATACATGCATGCCTGCATGTATGTGAGGATGTGTATATGTATGTATGTATGTATGTATGTATGTATGTATGTATGTATGTATGTATGTATGTATGTATGTAATGTACTGTAATGGAATGCAATGTAATGTAATGTAGTATACTGGCATGTGTTGTAATGTATGTATGTATGTGTGTATGTAAACATGTATGTATGTATGTATGCATGCATACATGCATGCATGCATGCATGTATGTATGTATGTGTATGTGTATGTATGTGTGTATGTATGTATGTATGTATGTATGTATGTATGTATGTATGTATGTATGTATGTATGTATGTATGTATGTGTGTATGTGTGTGTATGTGTGTGTATGTATGGATGTATGTGTGTATGTATGTATGTATGTATGTATGTATGTATGTGTGTACATATATATTTTTTATTATATCTATAAATAGATGGTTCCCTTTTCCCGTGGCGCACTTCTGCCCGATCCGCCCATCGGGCCCGCCAGTTCGACCCGCCCGTTGTGGTCCACCCGCCCGCCCCCGACGCTCCCCCTGGGGGTCCACCCGTTGCCCTGGCTTGGGAGCACGCCCGTCCCGCCCCGGCAGGGTCCGCCCCCGCCCGGCCCGCCCCGTCGCGTCGGGGCGCGCCCGCCCGCCCCGCCTGTTGGAGTCCGTTCGCCCGACCTGCTCGTCTTGACCCGTCGGGGTTCACTCTTCCACCGTAGTGCCATCCCTGACCCTCACAACACGCTGGATTCGTAGCCTGACGTAGGTTCTCGGTTGTCAGGGGTGTCCCTAAGCGCATGGGCGCCCTTGTCTGAGACATCCGCAGAATCCAATACCTACTGCTTCGGGCCCTCCTACCTTAGGCCCCCTCTCAAGAAGGGCGAGGGGTGCTTCTGTTGCTCATCATTTACGTGCCAAGGAGCTGGCATGACAAAGTACGCCTCCCCCTTGATGGGCGCGCCCAGGGACGAAGCGGGCCGGAGTCGAGGGCCTGGGCCGTACATGTTGATCGGCGCGCCAGCAGCGAAGAGCGAGCAGCCTCGAAAGGATTGCTGCTGTTGCCGCTTTCGGCTCCCCCGCAACGGGATTCTGGGGACGTCCTGGCGGCCACAGCTGGACGCAGCTCGGACGCAACTCGGTCCAAGATAGCTTCCAAGACAGACCAGGACGCCAGAAAGGCGGCGAAGGTATCATCCAGGTCGGACGCGACGGCTCCAAGATGGTGCCACGGGGTCGAGAGGAGGTGGGAGACTGGTACCACACCTGCCTGGCGCTCTGCGCGCCAACAGGGATCGGCAACGCGACTGCTGTGTCACGAGTATTGGAGGCCTTCTTACCCGTGCGGGGGCGCTCGGGCGCCCATATACTTGAGCTTGAACAGCATACGCAAGATTTGTTCTTGAGCATCTTCGCGCTATTCTCTATCGACTCTACGTCTGAGGTCGAGGGTCAGAGCAGACTCTGAGCTCGGACCTTGGCGAATTCGTCAGCGAAATCGTTGCCAGTGGTGGCGAGCCACCCTTCAGTCCTTTCCGTGAGGTTGAACAGTTGCCCAATACCGCTTCAAGGTGGGCCAGGAGTGGGACCCGTCCCGAACGGATGCCTGGGCGGGGTCCAGGGCGAGGTCCTCGGCCTTTGGCAGGGCGCACCTCCTCTCAGCACCGCCCTCTAGTGAGGCCCCTCCCCTAGTTTGCGATTCACGGAAGGTTTGGTTCAGGATCTCACCACCCACCAGGCCATTCCAACCCAACCCGAAGGCCCCAAGTTGCCCTCCATTTCCAAGGGGAGGGGGGGGGGGGGCTTCAAGGCATATTGAAAAGCCGTATGGAACCCGTGCCCGCCCCCAAAACCCGAAATTTGGGTCCTTCGGGCTGGGCCTGGGTGGTCTGAGGGGCAGCCAACATCGGCGCTGGTGCAGGTTGTGCCCGTCGTCGCAGACCCCCATCCTCTGGCGCAGTCCCGCTCAGTTTTCTTCTTAAGGCGGCGAGCCAGGGGGGGGAGTGAGAAGGGGCGGGCCCTTCCCAGAAGGTCCAGAATTCCCCAGATTTCTGAGAAGCTTTTTAAGTTTTCCCCGAAGACACAGAAAACTTCTAAGAAGGCGCGAGGGCTTCTGAGAAGTCCCGCCGCCTTCTGAGAAGGCCTTCTCTTTATGATTTCCCCGCCTCGCTCGCCGCCGATTCTTTCGCGCTCGGTCCCGCCCGGTCCCCCCATTAGCCCTGGGCCTCATCGCGACCGACCTGTCCGCTTGCTTTGCTCCGCGGGACAGCCTCCGCCGCCCCGCCCCCCGCTCGGGAAGACAATCATCGGGTGGGGAGGATGGGGCTGGGAGAAGGAGGAGGAGGAGGAGGAGGAGGATGAGGAGGAGGAGGAGGAATCATACAAACAAGAAGAGGAGGGGGACGAATCAGAGAAGGAGGGAGGGTATCATTACCCGCAGGCGGCCGAAGGCATCGTTCATTGCAGCCGCCCCTCCTCCCAACACGATAATTGTACTCCTCACCCCGGCGCGCGCGCGCGCGTCTGCCCAGGCGAGCGGGTCTGGATGCTCACGCTGGAGGACGATGCGACGGACGCCGAGCTGAGCCAAGTCCGAGACGCCTGCGGCGAATCGCCGCCGCCCCCGCCCAGAGGAGGTAGAGGTGCCGATTCCGTTCTACCGTTCGTCAGTTTTTGGCTTTGTGGGCCTCTGGGAATGCCCGTGTCGCTACTGCTAGATTCGCCTCGAGATGTAAGTGCGCGCCCCGTGAGCGTTCTTCGGAGTAGCGGCACGCCTTTTCTTGTTCTGTCCACTCCCGGGTCGAACTTGGCCGACTTGGAGGCCATTTTGGGACAGGTGGTGCGCCCTGGAGGCCCTCGTGGAAATTTTTGAGCCGAGGCCCCACCCGGAGCCCTCTGGAAGGGCCTGGGAGACGGCTGGCTAACACTTGGCACGCCGCGCGCTCCTCTGCAGGCAGAGGGGGCCGGCGGAGCGAAGGCGCCCAGGGCGGACCACCACCGCCCCCCTTTTTTTCTGGCCATCGCTCGGACGTCCATTCCCTGTGTTCTTGTTCGGTTTCGTGCGTGGTTTTTTCGCCGAGCGACCAAGAATGCTCCTCGATGGTCCTCGCCGAGGAAGACATGCACACGTCCGAGCGATGCCAAGTCTTGGGAACGCCTGTGTGGCCGAGCGTTGGGCCAAAGGTTGGGCAGGGCATTGGACTGGGCGTTCTCCCAGCCGTTGTGGGAACCCTCGGCGTAGCAATTCGGGGCGCTCTCGGGACGTCTTGGAGCCCTCGTGGGGACCCGGCTGGGGCTCCTCTTGGGCCATTTTGGAGCTATCTGGAGGTTTCGGAAGCCCTTTGTGAAGCGAAACGGGGAGAATGCAAATCACATAGGTTTTCCCCGTAGGTTTTGGAAGGATGTCGGCCTGTCGAGGGCGTCATCGGGAGGCTCTGCGGCCACTTGGAGCTGGCTTGGAGCTGTTCCCTGACCTCCAGTGTTCTGAAACAACTCCTGGGCGCCTCAAACGTCTTGAGTTTCGTGATTTGTCCTCAGTTCGTAGAACTTGCGTGGGATGTCCAGGGTTTTCTGGGGGATGTCCTGAGTGTTGTTTCGATGTCCTAGGTTTTGTTCGATGTCCTGAGTTTTGATGTTCAGTCAACTTAACTATGTAGAAAGCGAACAAGCCCTGGTCGAGCTAGCTGTCCTTGCTCAGTCCAAGTCAGACACGGCTGTGAATTCTTGACGCTTCGCTTCCGTTTTGTCCTCTCGTTGCCTCCCTCCCTTCTCTTGGTGCGCAATTCGCTCGTAGCCCGCTTGCTGCGACCTTTTGACGGCGTCCGGCGTCTCCCGGTGCGCTTGCGATCAAACAAAGTATCCCCACCAGCCCACCAGCACCTTCAGAGCCGACGGGAAAAGGGACGAAGAAAAACATCTAGGGAAACAAAGCGAGCAAGGGGGTGGCCTTGGAAGCCCTTTTCGGGTCATCCCTGGGTGCCGCGTGGGGGCGAGGGGAAGAGGAGGAGGAGGAGGAGGAGGAGGAGGAGAAGGCGGAGGTGGAGGATGCGGACGAGGAGTACGAGGAGGACCAGGACGCGGATGAGGGCGAGGATGAGGAGGACGAGGATTATGATGAGGACGACGCGGACGAGGACTCATGGAACCATCTAGAGATATTCTTGGGCTGCTGCTGTTGCCGATGCTCTCTGGGAGTTTGGGGAGCCCTCTTGGAACCCTCTTGGTAATTAACCCTGGAAAGCTTCTTGGGATCATCTTGGAGGCCATCGATTACAGGATGGGGGGGTCCCCAACTCAGCGCCCCCCTCAGGAGCAGGCAACCCGCTTCTTCGGGCTCTCTTGGAGTGCTCCTGGACGCTCTTGGAGTGGTCATGGGGCCGTTTGGAGCATCTTGGGAGCCACCTTGAGCCAGCTTGGGCTACCTGAACCATCTTGGAGGTCATCTTGGGCTCTCTGAGGCCTCTCGGGGGCCTCTTGGGGGCCTCTCGGGTGCCTCTTGGGGCCCTCTTGGGACCCTCTTGGACCCCTCTTGGGGCTCTCTTGGGGCTCGCTTGGGAGCCCTGGAGCGCCTCTTGAGGCCATCTTTGAGGCTATCGATCAAAGGAGGGAGGGTCCCGATCGAGGTCCCCCTTTCGGGGGCCACGATCCTCGTGAGGGGTTTCAAAAATTAGCCCTCCCAGGGGCCGAAAAAGGGCCCTCCAACCACCCGCGACACCTTCCCAAAAAGGTAAGGGAGGGGGTAGGGCCTAGGGGTAAACCCCTCCAGCAGGGGAAGGGTTTTTGGAAGAGGAAAGGAAGTCATCGTTAGACCACCTGCGCCCAGAGGGCTGGTGGGATCTGGGGGCATCTTGGGGCTCTCTTCCAGCTCTTTGAGGGGTCGTGGGGTCCTCTTGGGGCTCTTTTGGGGCGTCTTGGCGCCCCTTGGGGCGCTTCCTTGGGGCTCTCTTGGGCCCTCTTGGGGTTCCTGAAGAGCTTTTTGGGTCCATCTTGGAGGCCATCGATCAAAATATTGGGGGGTCCTTTATGTTGGTCCCCCCCTTTGGGCCCTCAAAACCGTCTTCTGCGGCGCTCTTGGAGCCCTCTTGGAGCGCTCTTGGGGCCGTCTTGGGGGCCTCCTCTTGGGGCCTTCTTGGGCAATCTTGGGGCCAACGGCGAGAAGGCACAACTCACTGATTCTCTTCAGGTGTTTGAAGGATTTGGGGCCTTTGGCGGGGTCCTGAGGGGTCTCCGAGAGCACTTGGAACCGTCTTGTGGGTCTCTTGGAGCCTCTTGGAGGCATGATGTTCGCTATCCTGAGCCATGTTGCACTATCTTGAGCCATTGTGGAGGCCATCTGGGTGCATCTCAGGCCCTCTTGGAGCTATCTTGAGCGAAAGAGAGCCCTCTGCCACCTCGCGGGGCGCCCCGTCCAGGTCCAGGGGAGGGGTAGGGGGAGAGGTTGTTGGAAGAGGAAGGCAATCATATCGTTAGACCACCTACGCCCAGAGCGCGGGTGGGACTTCGAGAAGATCTGCCAGCTGTCCTAGTCCAGGTCGGACAAGTCCTGTATGCGCAAGATCTGATAACAATGTTGATTTGCAACACCGCACTCGCAGAAAAGACGCATTGATTCACACTCGATGCTTGATCTCATGTTGAGGACCAGGATACAAGGGAAACGATGGGCTTTCACCGTTCAGTTTTCGGGCGAGTACGCGAGCGCGCAAAACGAAACGCATTTGGCACGCACTACAGGATCCCGTGTGGAGGCCCAGAATACAAGTGAAACCATTGGTTTCCACCATTCAGTTTTCGGGTAACCCAGTGTGGGTGGGTCACCGCACGCGCGCGCGAACGCTCAAGCGAGCGCGTACGCGCGCGCAAGAATAACAGTTCGCTCGCACACTAGATGCACCATTCAGTTTTCGGGTGACCCACCGTCGGTTGGTCACCCAACGCGCGCGCTATAAAAAAACGTGTACTTTTTTGACAATCTGTGATTCCATGGTGACGCCCAGAATACAAGTGAAACCGTTGCTTTTCCAGATTCAGTTTCGATCGTGGGGTCCATAGTGATATGAATAGTGGAATCGACAGTGGCATCGATAGTGAGTTCGATAGCGAGTGATATCGATAGCGGGGACGAAGTGGCATCGACGGTGAGAGCGATAGTGAGATCGATGGGTGGATAGATAGTGATATCGGTCGTGAGATCGATAGCGAGATCGATACGAAACGCGACAGTGGCATCGATGGTGCGATCGACAGTGAGATCCGTAGTGAAGTCGATCGGGATATCGACCGTGAGAGGGATCGTAAGATCGATTGTGGGATCGATCTTGACGGATCTTCCCCCTGCCAGCGAGCCTCCATATCACCCAGAGGTTGGTCGTGCAGGTGTGATGTTGGCCTCATGGGCCGGCCCATGTGCCCCCAAGACGGTCCATGGTGCGCCCGGCATGGTTCGTCTCAATTCCCCGATTCAATTCGATTCGATTCGATTCGATGTCGATGGTTTCCGATTCCGATTCGCTTCGGCTTGGGATTCCGATTTGGGTTCCGAGTTCTTTTTGGAGGCGTAGGAGCCTGCCGATTTCCGCCGATTCGACTTTTCCCTGTTCGGCTGCCGGTTTCCGCCGATCCGATTCGCTCCGATCGCCGATCCGACTTATGGAGTCGACTCTGGGCTGTCCTGCCCAGCTGGGTTCTAGGACGGGCCCTGACACCATCCTGGGGCCACGTTGGGAAGTATGGGGGTCCAGCCGCGCCCCGGAGGCCTCTCAAGAAGTCGCGTGAGCGCGCGCGGTCAAGCGCCGCGGAGCGCCCGGGGGAACTCTGGCCCCTCAGCCTGGAGCACGTGCAAGATTTAACGCAGAGAGCTCCGAGGGACCCGGGGACACTCCACTCGGTGCCTGCGGCATCGTGGCGGATCATGCAGGAAGTCCATCCGTCGGCGCAGCAGACCCACCCGGACAGGGGCGAGATTCCGTTCGTGGAGGGGCGCTTGACAGCAGACGAACTCTTGGCGCTGCTGGAGAAGTTCCGTGGGCGCATCAAGTTCGTCGAAGAGGACCCGTTCCAGCAAAGGGTCACGGAGCATGTCGAGCTAGCCGTTTCAGGCGAGGCACGGCGGTCTTACCCGTGGGGCATCGCGTCGATCGATGCTCACGTGATCCGAGGGCGAGGTGCGGGAGTGAACGTATACGTCCTGGACACAGGCATTCGCACAACCCATGTCACCTTCGGCGGCAGGGCCTTTGCTGGAGTGGACGTGGCCAGCACGGGGCTCTTGACGGTGTGCACACCAACCAGCACAACCTGCGCTACAGACAACCATTATCACGGCACCCACTGCGCGGGCACGGTGGGGGCCGAGACTTATGGCGTCGCGGACGGCGCGAAACTCTGGGCAATGAAGGTCCTCTCTGACACCGGCAGCGGTTACGTTTCATGGTCCGTTCTTGCCGAGCAGTGGATTCTGTCGTACGGCCTGAGGCCAGCAGTGGTCAGCGCGAGTATCGGGGGCGCTGGGAATTCCCTGACGGAGCAGGTATCGATCGACGCGTTGGTAACTGATGGCGTCACCGTTGTGGTGGCCGCAGGGAATGAAAACGCAGATGCCTGCAGCTACAATCCGGCTTGGATCCCGTCGGCGATCACCGTGGCTTCTTATGGAGGTGCTTCAGGTTCGTCATCGGACAAGTCTGGTTTCAGCAATTACGGTTCTTGCATCGATGTCTGGGCGCCTGGCACGAACGTCCTCTCGGCGTACCACATTGATGACGTTTCGCTGGCTTACTCTTCGGGTACGTCCATGGCCTGTCCGCACGTCTCTGGGCTCGCGGCGATTATGTACGAGGCGCACCCTACAGCGGGATCCATGACTGCTGCTCAGAGGTGGGATCTTATCACGGCATCGAAGCGAGAGAATTGGGTCACCAATATACCTGCGAGCCCAGCCAGTGTCAACTTGGTTGCCCTCGCACCCACAGGCGCACCGACGCCCGCGGTGACGCTCAGCCCGACGTCTTATCCAACGCCCAGCCCGACGCCCAGCCCGACGCCCAGCCCGACGCCCAGTCCGACGCCCAGTCCGACGCCCAGTCCTACGCCGAGCCCAACGCCCAGCCCGACGCCCAGCCCAACTGCGCCGCTGTATTGTCTGCAGATTGTCACTGGCACTGGATATGCCAATGATGGCAGCGTTGACGTGAACGTGGATGTGGGCAGTGGACTTGTGCAAGAGGCCTCCGGGTTCTTTGCCCTAGGTGTAACAGTGCTCTCAAAGTGTTTTTCCAGCGCGATCCTGGCGCTGCAGATGCACAATCCAACAACGGATGCCTGGGCAGGAAGCATGCTGTATTCCACAGATGGTGGCAACACGTACGTAGCTGTTGCATGCGCAGATTGTTCGGGGACTACAGATTCAGGCTCCATGGTTTTCGATGGAAACACCGATGGAGCCAACCAGGCTTCGACTCAGTGCCTCAATGGTAATTCGTGCAGCTTCATTATGCCGACTCTTGCGCCAACGATGGCGGCACCGAATCCTGGAGGGGTCGGCGCCACCGGCGATCCCCACCTTCAGAATATTCACGGTGAGCGGTTTGATCTGATGCAGCCAGGGGTTCATGTTCTGATACACATCCCTCGTGGAGAGCGCGCCGATAACGCACTTCTTCGCGTGCAGGCCGATGCGCAAAGATTGGGTGGACAGTGCACGGATATGTACTTCCAAGAGGTCAATATTACTGGGGTGTGGGCAGCTGCGAACGCGAAGCATATTGGTGGTCTTCGCTACCGCGCCCAGGACGTCGGCGGCAAACGAGCCCAGTGGATGCGCTTCGGGCCTGTGCAGCTGAAGGTCGTCCATGGACACACGCGGCATGGTCTGAGGTATCTGAACCTGTACGTGAAGAGCCTTGGGCGTGCTGGGTTCGCGGTCGGAGGCTTACTTGGAGAAGACGACCACTCCGAGGAGGTGATCCCTCAGGATCGGAGAGCAGGGAAGCGACACCACCACCAGAGCCGACCCCAGAGAGGTGCGCGGTGCTTCCCCGAGCCCGAGATTGAAGGTGCCTCGACCGGGACCGCCAAAAAACAGGGGGACCACACCACCACGAGGACCCTCCTTGGCTTCTCGCGCCTGTGTCACAGTACAGCGCAATACAGCACATAATCCATGCGCCTGCCCTTAACACGGCGCTTGGGAACGGGGTCGAGAGATGAGGGCCGTTCAAGCTTTGCAGGAAACTGCAAAACCAAGATAATCAGGGAGGGGGAGAAGGAGGAGGACGACGAGGACCGAAAAAGAAAAACTTCTGGCGTTCCGCGCGGATTTCTTGGATCCGCGCTTGTCCCCACCGGCGGCCTCTCCGGCGCCGCCCCTGGCGCGCTCCGCGCGCCAGGGAGGGGGGTCCAGGGCAGATCCAAGAATTCCGCGCGGAGCGCCAATAGTTTTTTGTTTCTGTCGCTGCTTCCTTTTTTGTTGTTGTTCTTCTTCTGATTCTTCATCCTCTAGGGGAGACGGACACAGATTTCTCCTTGTGCCTCCCCCCGCCAGGAGGAGTGCACCCACCGCATGGCCCTGAGCCTGTAGTGTGGCAGGTTTCTGCCCCAGGAGGCGAGCTTGCCGCTGAGCGGTGGGGAGAAACGCCGACCTCTCTCCGCGAACTCCGCGCCACTCCTCCGAGTTCTGCTCCCCCTTCCTCGCCATCCCTCCTCCCCCGCCCCTTTTTATGTATTGCCTGCCTCCTCCTTCCTCCTTCCTCCTTCCTCCTCCTCCTTCCTCCTTCCTCCTAGCCCCTGCCGTGCCAGTCCGAGACTGTGCGGGCCTTGTACGGAACGCGGACCTTTCCCTCAACCGCTACCAGAGCCAGGGGGGGGCTCTTTCGATTCATCCTGCCAGTCATCCTTCTAATTTCGACTCTCACTTTTTACTGCTCGTTTCGCATGTGGGCCCAGACACTTTCTGTTGTGCTCTATAACCCGCTTCATGTTGCAGACTTGTGGCGGGCGGAATATATCAGTGCGCCACTACGACTTGCAGATGTTATCCTGTGCCCACGACATCTCGGCACCGACTGAGGGCACCAGTCACCACCACGACTCTTCAGTATCATCGGATTTTCCCTTTTGGATGGGAAAAGGGCGGGCGCGGGCGCACAAACAACAGCGCGGGTTGCGCCATCTTCCTGAGAAAGCGTTGTATCAGACCACAACGTGTGTGCGAAGTACGACCTGCCCCGGCTGACATCGCTGGGAGAGGAGGAGCCATCAGAATCCGCAGCGGCCAGTTCGATGCAACGTTGATTGTAGCGTACTGCCCGCCGCCCAGCAACATGAAAGTTGAAGCCTGGAGAGCCACGTGTTCCCGAGCTACCGATTGGGTCCACAAGTCAACGCAGGAGGCCCCCCACCGCTCCATGACCGTGTTCGGAATGGGCTCGAACTCTCAATTCGGAGTGAGGAAAGTGGGGCAGGCCCTACCAACGACGACGACCGATGATCACTATGTGGGGCAAGGGGCGACTGGTCTGGAGAGTGAGGTATCAGTGGGCACATGGAGAATGTTACGCGTGGAGAACTTGGCAGTGGTCGACTCCTCCCATCAGATAGACCCGTTGTGTTTCGGAACCGATCGACCAGCAATCCCGACCACCGGATCGCGATCGCAGGCGCCATAGGCATGACACGCCAGCGCAAGGTATTACGGCGAGCCATGAGAGAACTACAAGTCATCCCAGCCAGCCGTCCCCGTGATCACGCCCCTCTGCTGTGGCGCCTTCCGTGCGTTCTGCAGGCCCCTGAGCCGCTCCACAAAGAGCCTCGATGGAATAGGGGCCAGCTCCACCGAGCCCTGCAACGCAAGGGCGATGGCGTCGTGATCCTCGCGGAGCTGGAGCGCCTCTCGGAGTCCACGAGGGCGCAGTGGCAGCGCCAGGCCCAATCACTTGATCCAACCGCAGCGTGGGAGTCCATCGTGAATGATGCGCGACAGGCGGCGCTCCCAGAACTGGAAGACCTCCCCAGGCGCTCAACCGCAGCCGAGAACGACCGTGCTGAACGGGATGTCCCAGTGGAGAGACGCAGGGAGGCTCGGAATACTTTTTTCCATAGAAGAGGTCCAGCAGAGACTTCGTGACCTCGATGCTTTTCTGAAGAGGGAGAAGAAGCGACTTGATCTGTCTTGTGTTGCACGGCTCCTAGAAGAGGCGGAGTCTGACGACGTGGCCTCCGACACCAGTATAACGCTTGGCTCCTGATCTATCAGATCGGATACCGCTGCCGCGGCCCCCGCCGACGAGCGTTCAATATCCCCGATTCCTACCGACCGACCCTGGAAGAATAGGCAGATACCACGCAGTCCCCTGCCTAGGGAAGGGGGGGTTCTCAGCGAAGGCTTGGAGGACCCCGCGGAGCCCGCTCAACCCGAGCTCCAGAGATTGGAGGGAGAGGGGTTCGAGTACTTCGATGGGGCCCCCGCGTCTGAGGCTCGGAATGACTGGCGCGGGTGCGCGCGTGCGCGTGCGTGTGCTCGCGCGTGCGTGTGTGCGCGCGTGTGTGTGTGTGTGTATGTGTGTACGTGTGTGTGTGTGTGTGTTGGCGTGTGTGTGTGTGTGTGTGTGTGTGCGTGTGTGCGCGCGTGCGCGCGTGCGTGCGCGCGCGTGTGTGTGTGTGTGTGTGTGTGTGTGTGTGTGTGTGTGTGTGTGCGTGTGTGTGTGCGTGCGTGTGTGTGTGCGTGTGCGTGCGTGCGTGCGCGCGCGTGCGCGGCGGGCGGGCGGGGCGGGGCGGGGGCGGGGCGGCGGGCGGGCGGGCGGGGTGGGTGTGGGGGGGGGGGGGGGGGGGGGGCGGTTCAGCAGGTGCGCGGGGCAGCTCGACCACTGCGCTCGCCGACCCACTTCGCGCCTGCGGAACTACTGGCATTAGCGAATGCAGCACGTCTCGTTTCAACTCACTGGGGAGTGGGCCCACGCTAACCACCTCAGCAATAGGGCGCAGCAGCGCCCGGCGGGACGCGCGCATGTGCAGCGCCCCGTGTTTGCCGAACGACTTCGGATGTTTTTTTGTTTTTCCGGCAAGTGCGCGCGAAGTCTCGGGCCCCCTCCGCGCGGCAATGGGGTCGCGCCGCCCAGCTCTCCAATGGGGGCCTCGAACGGAGCGCCAAGGCCATGCGACTCATGCACTGCTATTGCAGTCCGACATGCGAAGCCGCCCCTCCCCGAACATGCCCATGGGCATGCCCCCCGCGGGCCCCGACAGGGCGCCCAAATGACGGCGGGGGCCCACAGTTGGAGACTCAAAAAGCTTGGCGCGCCCCACCTTCTGGTTATGTCCAACGCGCGTCCCTCGACGGCGCATGCCGAACTTGCTCGCGCCCCCCTGCGGGTGATTCCGCCCCCGCAGGACAGAGTTGACTATCGCCGGCGACGTGGAGAGGCGGTGGTGGAGATCAGGGCTGGGGCGGAGGTGGGGCACCATCGACCGCGACACGGGGCTGCGATGGGGGATGGGGGCGCCGGTGATTTATTCGCGCGCAGCTTTATCAGGCCTGTTGAGGAATGGCGAGACCGCCTCACCGCGAAGCTTGACCAAGCGCATCGCGACAGCTCTCCCGAACCTGTAGTGCTGGCACGAGCGGCGAGCCTGATGACCTGCGCCCTCTCGGGCGAAACGTCTGACATTTCAGTTCGAGACTGCGCCGGCGATATTCATCAGACTATCCCGATGACAACTTGCAATCCCATCGAGGCCCAAACGAGGCTCTTGTCATTCAACTCGATGTTAGATCAGCCCCCTGGGGAAGGCGGAGGTTTCTCGCAAAATCCTGAGAGGGAAATCTGCGCGCCAGCGATGTCAGGCCCAGGCGCGCACGCAGCGGCGCTGACTTTGCTGTCGCGCACGGCGCCAGTGCCCGGGGTCATCGTCGCTGAGAGCCTCTACTTTGGGGGGGGGGGGATGGGGCAATTGGCGGGCGGATGCGCGGCTGAGATACGACGACGGATTGACGGCGCGAGGGCGGCATGGGGAGAAGCGGGGAGGTTCTGAGAGATGACTCACTCAATACGTTTGAAGAGAATGGCCTTCAAGGGGGCAGCGCGGTCAGCAGCGCGCCCTGGCTTAGAGTCGCACCCGCCAGGGAAACGCGACCTCAGAATGTTGGATGCTGTAGCGCTCGCGTTCGCTCGAGTGGCGTTGCGGAATCGCGAGCCAGTGTTCGCCGATGGCGCAGGGTCTCGGCCGAAGCACCGCTCCCTGCCCGAAGCAATGCGTTGCACACATTACGCATTACTGACGCGCGTGCTGGGCTCCTGAGAAGACTTCGTCAGTGGCAAAGGCGCGCTCCCACCCCGACGACAGCAGACAGCCCCTAGTTGCTATCTTTGGGGCTTTGGGGGGACTGCAGGAGGAGGGGGCGTTTCTGGAGGGCGGTTCAGTAAGCCCGAAAGCTGCCCCCTGGGCACGACAGGTACGAATCGACCTTGGGGCGCTCCATCATCTTGAGGGAAGTACTGAGTTCTGGGGCATGCACTCGGTTCGTGACATCTTCCGCAATGATGCTGCTGCCCGGGTACTTGCGAGGTTCAACCCCGACAAGCTCCGCAAGGTTCCTGCCCTCAGAGGTCCCCCGCGAGCGCCTCCTATTCAAGCTCCGGAGGACGATCCCCCTGAGGCCCTTACTTGCGAGCTCCCTGGGCCAGGGCCAGCCGGCATCTGTGGGCGAGTCTTTTACAGTGCGGCGGCTCTACGGGCTCATCAATGCCACCATCCTTCTCACAAGCAAAAGGTACTTGCACATATGTTGGTTGTGGCGAATCAGTGCCTTTGCTGCATGCTGGTTTTCAGAACTGAGGTGACGGCAGAACGACACGTGGCGCAGTCCTTACGGATGGGGTAGGTGCATTTGTGATGGGAGTCCATATGCGCCCGAGCCGATTGCACCACCAGACCTACACTGCTAGTTCTGCGTGGAGCTTGAGGCAGCGTTCCAGGCCTTCATCACTTGTATGCCACCTGGCTCGAGGTGCACTGCGCCTTTCGATTCGTTGGCAGAGTTACAGCGACACCTGCGAGACGTGCGCGCCTCCGCTCCACCTGACCTTGTCTGCCGCGATGGACCTGGCTCAGCGCGCCCTCAGCGTCGGCGCCGAGGAGCGAGGCAGGGCCCTCCGCTCTCGGAGCGGCGAGCGCGGCGCCCGCCGCCGCGGCCGCCAGGCGGGCCGCCTTGCCCGCGGGCCCGCGGCGGCGGCAGCGGCGGCAGGAGCGGGAGAGGAAGGGCACCCCCCCGCCGCGGCGGCCGCGCCCGGCGCCCCCCCCCCCCCCCCGGACATCAGCAGCAGCAGCAGCGCCAACAGAGGCCCCAGGGAGTCGAGCACGCAATGGCTCAAGTCTTCGACGCAGCGGACAACGCCCACGGCCTGCAGAGCCGCCACGTCACGCAAATCCAGAACCGGCAGGTGTCCATCGAGAAGGTCCAGGCGCTGGTGCCAGTGGTGATGCGGGCTACGCTCAGGAACGTGCAGGACATCGCAGCGCTCGAGAGCACGGTGCACACGATTGCACACATCCAGGCCGATCACGCGCTTGCCCAGGCAATGCAGCTGACGGGCAAGTACTTCGCGC